CTGGGTTCTACACTAGCTGCCATACCTGCAACCTAACTAGAAGATTACCTATTTAAGCTCTCTGATTATTTAACTAACAAGATCTTTATAATATCTAAAATAGATTAACCAATAAAATTATTACAAAATCATGAAAAAATTTAATATATATACAAGTAATATTAATGAAACTTTACAAGAATAACTTTACAAAACTATTTACAAGCAACATATTATTACTACATACTTTCAGTTTATAATATTATAAATTAAATAGCCTATTTATATTATTTATTATTTAATCCACTATATTTATCTAACTACTAATAATTCTATATAATACAAAATATTGAAATCATTATAAAAAAAATGTGTAGAATTTTTAATAAATCTTTTTTTTCTTTAAAAAAAAAATTTTAATTTACACCAAATATCTTTATTGTCCCATACATCTAATTAGCTGTCTTATATTTGTCTATAGTTTATCAAGCTATATATTATAGTGCTCTAATTTTACATAGTAAATCTTTAATATTTTAACTAGAAAAAGTTTCTTATATTTTAAGATCTTGAAAAACTATTTTGTGATCTATAAAATTAAGACCTTATTGAGCATAAGTACAAAATTTTAAACCACTATATTAAAGAACAAACAGCAGAGGTTTTGTAAAAGCAAATAGTATTTTAACTATTATATTAGTAAACAAACCTTTGGCATTGCGACTAGCAAAAGTTTTGTCTATTTTGGGATCTTAAAAAACCATTTCGGAATCTTTGAAACTAAAGTCTTGTTGCGTATAAATACAAATTTTCAAACCACAATAATAAAGAAAAAAAAAGCAGGGGCATTGTAAAAGTAAATAGCACTTTAACTATTATACATATGTATGCTAAATAAATCGACCAATCAATGTAAGACCAATTCGCAATAATCACAAAGTTTACTAATCTGATTGGTACAAATTGTGATAATCATATTCGAAAATATCACCAAAATGTAAAAATCCGCCTATATGGGCGACGAATCAGTTTTTTATCGAAGTAATTGAGAAAGGTGCTTGAAACGCCTAACCAACTCTGATCAATCTAAATTGTTGTACATTATATATTAACACTAGTGAAAAAATAAACACAACTTTGATTAATTTTGATTGATTTGTATATAGTTTATAACTTATATCTGTATATAGGAATTTCAGAAGAAGAGATGCTTATAAAAACACAATATTCATAAAGTATTTTCTCAAATTCTTACAATAACTTGAGTATGATGCTTTTTACATGTGATTTTTGATAGAATCTAAATTCGGGAAATTGTTTAGGTTTTAAAGGAAAGATTTTAATCACATATGGGTTGTTGCACAGCAAAACCACGCTTAGAACATATAATATATATATTCTAAGCATGGTTTTGTTATGCAACAACCCATATTTAGTTTTAAAAACACCTATTTATATTCAATTTGATACGTATTTATTAGAATTTTGTATTCAGGAAGCTTGATTTATAAAGGTTATTTTTGTAATTCAGTTTATTTTCTATTATTAATAAATGAACTTTAACAAGATTGTTGATAAAATTATAATCCGATTACAATTTGTTGATCGATTTAAATTCTATGTATTAAGTAGAATTTAATTCCCTTATCACCCTAAAATACCTTCGCGAGTTACATAGATTTAAAATCGACAAAAATTTGATTTTGACGTACAAAATATGTAATAATCATTAAAAGGTCTTATAAAAAAGTTTATCAGTAAAAAAGTCATGATTGATTAAACCCCTTTATGACTTAATCGACCAGCCTGACAACTTGAGCAAGGTGCCTTCGGCCTACAACACCAACTTTAGATTCCAAAATACTTACTGAAATTTCGATCGTTAAAGAGATAAGTCACGTGGGTACAATTCCTCTTCGAGAATATGTATTGCAAAGTGAATCGGAAAATCGGTCAGTCGCATGAATTTTCACTTATGTGATCACTGCGATAAGTTTTATTTGTATTTTAATTATGTTTATTACCGTATTGCCACGAAATAACAGGCATGGCGTTATATGATAATTTTTAAAATTAGTACTATAAAGCTTGCTTTCATTATCTTTTCCAAAAATATTTATTTTATTTTGGACTTGAAATTTTGCCTACAAAATATTAATCATTCTATAAATATTTGAACAAACAAATATATCAAACAAATAAAGCCAACTATGCTTTTCTATATATTATAAGTGTCAAAGGTTATAATAATACTATTAATACTAGATTAATGGAAACTATTAAAAGTCAAGGATATTACATTTCGACGAATCAATATAAAAATGATCTACTTTATGAACAACCAATCAAACCCGTTTTCTGATAGTATAGTCTTTCAGACAATAATAATATTATTAATAACTGTCATCGGGAGTATCAGAAGAATCGCTATCAGAAGAACCGTCATCAGGAGTATCAGAAGAATCGCTACCGTCATCGGGAGTATCAGAAGAATCGCTACCGTCATCGGGAGTATCAGAATAATCGCTACCGTCATCGGGAGTATCAGAATAATCGCTACCGTCATCGGGAGTATCAGAATAATCGTCACCAGAAGTATCACCAGCTTCGCCAGTATCCACGCACATGTATGATCGACCTCCAGAATTAATGTTTTTAATATCGCTTTCTTGTTCAGTGACAAAGAAAGTATTAGACTTTAGATTATTTATAAAGATATAATAACTGCCAGAAGGTAAATTTACTGGCCAATAATATTCTTTCGTGTTCATATTTGATTTCCATATAATATTGTCATATTTCTTATTATCATCAACAGAAACCCAAGTAATATAATTACTCCACCCTTGTTCGGGATTCACTATATCCCAGGTTATATGCAGGAGTTCACCCTGGAGAAGTGTACTTGGTTCAACCTGTATATTATAAACCTCTAAAAAACGTTAAGGAATTTAGCAAATAAGTAACGAAATTATTATTTATTTAAAACAGTTGATGTCTAGAATAATTTTTCTGCCGTTTTCTTATAAATTTAATCTCTACATTATTAGTATAAGAATATAATTTTAATACTTACGAGCTACAGTGAATTCAAGAATAAAGACGGCGAAGACAAGAATAGATGTAAAAAAATTAATCATTTTTAAAAATATGCATATAGAATAAATAATGATAATACGGTGATTTAGTATGTAGAGTGAATGAAATAAAGTTTGATAGAGAATGAGAGTACGGAGGATGAATAAAGAGAGTAAGAGTAGGGAAATTGAATAGGGAAAGTAAATTTCGAGACAGGTCTATTATACGAAATATTTCTTTCTTTTGCACCATAGACATTTGTACCCAAAAATTTCTGTAGCACGAATTGTTTGCATAGGTAATTAAAAAATTAATTATTCGTTTGAAAATTAACGCACAAACAAATTGCTTGATAACTATTTACGCGTTTAAAAAGAGCGTAACGTTTCACTAATAAAAATGCCGCAGAAGACATCCATCCATCTATAGCTTTAAAATAAGCCAACGTTCACTGTACAAAAGAATCTCTATAGTAGACATTGTACTGTATCCAAAATAATTATTTGTGAATTGAAAGAAGGTTGTCTTAAATTTGTTCGTGTAGAACGCATCCACACATTATAATTAATCAAAACTATGTGAAATAGTTCAATAAATTTTTAATGATAAATTTTTTCCGAAATGTAGATCAATGCAGATCAATGCTATCGATCGTTATTATTATATAAGAAATTTACATTTATTGTCATTCTCTCTAATTTTATTCCTCTTAATGTTATAATAATAATTAAAAAAAAAGTGATTTATATAAAATAAATTATTTAAAAGGGCCAATTCCGCCGATCAGCCAGTTTTAGCATGATCTCGTTAAACTGTACATATTTGTTTACTCAATCAAAAAGAACTCTTTATAAAATTTCCATTATAAAATTTCCATTTAAATTAGAATTATACCAAAGGCTCAAGTCAAATAGCATGCTACAAAGTCGTATCTTTTTCTCAAGCGCCTTCCTCTATGCTTGATTGGTTAAAAATAAATCTTGTTAATCATTTCAGTCAAAAAAAATTTGGACCTAACAATCACCTTTTTTTTTATTTTTCGTAAGAGTTGCTTTGATTGAACTTTAAAATCGGCATTTTGCATAATGAATTTTCTGCGCATAAATTTCGATTAACTTCACATTAACTTTAGGGCCATTAAAAAAAGTCCAGTTCTTTCGGTTCGGACTCCGTAAATAAACTTTGATAAGAAGTCGATCCTTGAGTTAAGTTCGTACATATAATACGTAATATATGATTGTATTCTTTGATAAAATCTCGATACAAATTAGCCGATCAATGAGTACCTTCCTAATAATAAGCTTGGAATCGGTCCTAAAATGTTCGTGTGAAGTCAACTCAAGGACCAGGCCCGGCAATTTTTTTAACAGGCCTAGTTAACTTGCTCATTATTCTTGTTACTACATAAAATTGATATGATAAATATTGTAAATTTTTTTTTTATTTTTTTATCTTGAAAATAGAAATTTGTATCAGAAATATTTTTTTCGTTTCAAAAAACGTACCGATATGGGTATTATTCAATGTTGGCTTGACCAGACTAGTTTGACCATTGGACCAGACCAATTTGACCGGTCTGGTCAAAGGATCTGTACTGGTTAAATTGGTTAAATAGTATATTTAAATATATTTTATACCAGACTAATTTGACCAGTAAATTTTGGCCGACCACTAATTTGCCCAACACTAACAACAACCCTTTTGATTTTTTAAATTTTCAAAAAAGCCCAAAATAATTCTTTGCTGAAACTAGCAAATTAGCAACTTTAAAATTACTTTAAAATAATTACATTATAACTAGAAAATGACTCAAATCCCGCGATATCTTTTTGAATTCTGTGATATTCTGCGTATTTTTTTAGATTCTGTGATATTCTGCGTTGACTAAGGGTGATTTCTGTGGTTGGCTGTGATTAACGTTAAGAGAAATTCTGCTGTTTTCTGTGAATCACTGAAAATCATCGTCCCTGCACTACGCCCTATTCTTTCTCTTTCTT